GCATGAACTCACCAACTCATATTAAAATGAGGTTCATATTTTAACAGTAGGATAGGAAAACTGGTAACTACAATGTCCAGTAATTGGTTCTGGTTATTTGTAACTATTGTATCTATATTGGATGAATCACTGCAATATACTAGTTCAACCTGACTGACCCCTCTCTATGAATTGCCTGATGACCATGTTACCTCTGATGATCACTCTTGCATACTTGATATTTCTACCATAGAACTTTCACATTCTAATTCGTCATTAGGTCTCTATGGAAATACCCACCTCTATATTTACACCCTCAGGTATATAGCACAATATCAGCTTCCTTTGTTATTGAATCCTGTAATTTAGCATGGTCTCATTGCTTTTACATATATGAAATACAGAAATTATGTTCATACAATAATATAGATATATAGTTTCCAGTTAATAATGTAAATGTTGTATCTCTATGTTTCAAATGTTATGCAATTAATAATTTAATCATCTGTTAGTTCAAAAATGTGATTCAAATCAATGTAAATAAACTAGTGACAAAATAAGGCTCATTTTTCAACTTACATTTATTTAACCATTTATTTCAATATATACACTTACAATACATAACAGTAAAATAAACAACAAAATGGCTTATTTTATAATTTATATGTTTTTGAAAATGAGTAAAGAACAACAGAGCTTGTAAGTTACAATACCAATGAGGGATGACAGTGCATTATGTTGTATTGGTTTTCCAGGTTATTGTTTAACAAGAAACTCCTTCTCATATCGATTGCTCAACAAATAAAATCTTTATCCACCACTATCATGGTCTTCGTTTTATCACTTTAACTAAATCGATATGTCTCGATGTAAATGGCATCCCCACTATGATTAATTCCTGTAAACACAATGCATATCTATAAACTTACCCAAAACAATCCCAATAATTATAGCAACTTTCATTGCTCACTAAAATGCAATTGTTTGTAGCTACCCTTCACAATTACTTTCTCTTCTTTGCATAAAGTAGTTTTCATCTTTATTTTGTATTTTCATCAAAGAGTACATTCACTAAAAGAGTCTTATGTATACAAACAATTTATATACAATATTCCAAGTAAAGGTTGTTCCAGCCTGGAAGTATACAACATGGTCGTCAGGGCCTTTAGAGTTTGCATTTGCATCTATTTTTTATTACAGTCTGAGGCTCTGGCTGGATATCTCATCATGATTGTAGAAAGTCAATGCTCCCTACTTCTACTTTGACCACCAAATAGACCCCCGACATGACATAATAATGCAATGACATAATAATTTATTATTATCGTTGCTAAGTTAAACTACCAACTACGATTAGCAAGATGTGGGATTGTGTGTTGTGCCATGCTAATTTACCAAACACATATTAATCAGCACAAAGTACAATAACACATAATAGTTCAATGGATCTATGCTGATATTGGTGATAGGGGTTGAGCTCATCACAACCCAAACTTCCGATTAAAGAGGCATCGCATCCGACATTAATTTTAAGTCCTAAACTAAAGATTACAATTTGCTTATGTTCAGAGGCAAAGTGGATACCATCTAGCATCTTAGGAATGAGCTGGTCACAACTAAAAAGAAAACCCAGTCTTTGCACCACGCATAAACTGTACACAATTCACCACTTGGGACGAGAAGCAAGCCTGCAATAATACTGTGGAGCAGGACTAAGTTTAAATAATGATTCCAAGTTCTCACGTAAGGTAAAATATAATTTCGGCACGAAATATTTGCCTGATTCCTCAGTAATACATGTTTCAAGACCCTAAAATAGTTGAGTAAAAAACATATTTTTTCAATTTTTCACAAATATTTAATCCAAACTAGAAAAAATCCAATATTTTACCAGAGGTCCCAACACTATGTGTTTCTTGCCATTTAAGGTGATTCCAGCAACACATTATATTTATAAATATTTCAAACCAACTGGTACAAATCTCACATGATACAGACATTAATATGGATTGAAAATATTTTTGGAGTTGGACATTTATATAGAAATGTATAAATAAGCACGATTTTTTAAAAAGTGGCTTAAAATCTCCCCATGTTATTCTCATAGGTAAAACACCAAAAACACCTCTTTATCCTATTCTATCTATTTGCTTGAGATACAGTAAATAAACATATTTAGGCACACTACATTGATTTCAACTTTTGATATAAAACAATAATACAGGGTAAAAATTTAAAAATCTAAAACTTATATGAATACCATTTGGTAAATAAATTAAATGGTTCCATTTGTATGACAATGTATTATAACATAATATCAGTGTTGGTAATGGTTACAAACTCCATGCATTACTGGTGTGACTTTATCGTTTTAAAATGCTTATTTCTCAAAAACTGCTTGAGATACGACAAATGGTTAAATTTAGGTACACTATGTTAGTTCCAACTTTTAAACAACAAAAAACAATAATACAACATAAAAATCAAATACTATTTTAACATTATTTTAAATGAGTACAAATAAATCAAACAATTATCATGAAAATGTTATAAGTCTATACTTAATTCCATTATTTTAAAAGTCCATTATTAAATATTCTAAATTTGTGATTTAATCACCAGACATCCCTATAACTCAAAAGAATTATATTATTTTATATGAGTACAAATAAATCAAACCATTTTCATTTGTATGCCAATGCATTGTAATATAATAATAGCATTAGTAAATAAAGGTCTGATTTATTGTTTAAAAATACTTATATCTAAAAAAAAGGCTTGATATACAACAAAACAGCTAAAATTCCAGCAACCAAAATAGCCTTCAACATAATAATACAGCATAAAAAGTTAAACAATTTAAAACCATTTACCAGTTTCTTTTGTATGTAAATGTGCTATAATATAATTTCAACAATAGCAATAGTTTCAAACTCTAGGTATTACCAGCACGGCACTGTCGGGGGCATGACGATGTTCAAAGTGATGCGCCTTCTATCACTTACATGTTTGTCTAGCTTCTAAAAAAATATTTATAGCATAAAATTTATATATTAAAATTCTACATAAACTACTGTTTAATACAATATAAATATAATTTAATTTATGCCACTGTATAATTATTAATTAAGAAAAATATAAAAAGGTTACTCAAAGCAAACATGAAAAAGTAAGTAAGCAAGGATTTTTTTTATTTTTCGGTCAGAGAAAAACTTTCAGTGGAAGAAGTATAGATGATTAGATGTTCCTCAATTTTTGTTTCTAACATTTTTTCATAAGACTTTTAGTTTGTCATCGCTGGGGATCAGAAGTATGCCTATGGGTTGGGAGCACGCCCAAGTTCGCATGCCGAGAGCCGGGTCTTTAAAAAAAGTGGTCAAAAAAAGCTCTTCATTTCCAGGCTTGTTTTTTCAGTATTAATAACATTTTTTAACCAAAAAATGCCCCCATATAGCCTCTAAAACGCCAAAAATAGGGTAAAACCATCATATTTTACCTATTTTGGGTGTTTTTTCACCAAAAAAATTCAAAAGTCCTAGGTCCAAAAACGCCGAAAGTGGGGTCATATTCTGGTATTACCTCTACTGAGGAGGTTAGGTAAACAAGTATCAATATATAGCAAACCTTTTGTAGACAAAATCAAATTAAGTACCCTAAAGCTGGAAAATGTAATTGATTGGGCTGTATTTACGGGCTGGGCTGTAAGATTGGCGAAAGCAAACTAGTTCAAAAATATGGTGATAAGAGGGTATGGAGGTTAAACTTCGAAAGTCTTATTGATGTATCGTATAACTAAACAATTTGGATGTTAGATGTTTCTTCAATCGCTTAGTGTCCGTTTGCATCACCTGGTCTCATGCTTTTCAAAGTATTTTTGGTCTCGGTAACTCTAACGGTTGTGTTTATCTCCTGATAAAAATTACATTTTTACCTTAAATTTGTTGATATCAACGGGCAACGGGTCTGCGGAATACTGTACCCACCGGAATACTATACAACCCCCCCCCCCCCAGGTGAAACGTGACGTCACGAAATCTGCCAACTAACCAATATGGGAGCCGCGTCAACGACTGGATTTCTACCCCCCTAGCAAAATGTGATGCTTTGTAATTGTAATTTTAATTCGAGTAATTCCGTTTGATAACAGAGAAGCCATGTGGGGAACATCAAACAGAATTTTGAAATGTTATAGCATTGACTATACACCTCTACTGTAGCAAGTTTGGTTGGAGAGCAGTCTTCCGGCGACCCATATCAACCAATAATACAGTAATCTATTAAGCTACTGGCTGCGGTATATGCATTTTATTTATTTATTCACGGTAACACCATTTATACAATAGTAGTTAGCATAATCAATTACAAGATGGCATAATTTACAACGACACTAATGCATTACTAATGCAATTAATGTCAAACAAAACTGAACTTGAAAAAACTTTGGGTAAGTATGATATTTAGGGAAAAACAACAGACAATAATAACAGGCAATGCAGACAAAAAAACAATCAATAACTGGCAATGGAAGACAATCATCAAGTCTCATTGAGTGTAAATCAGGCCCTAGGTATTTTAACTCAAATATTAAATTGACGTGAATTCAGAACTAAAGTGTTAATAGCTGACCTGAAAGACTTTTAACAATGACACAGCCAAAAAAAGATAATATTTATTCTACAATGGACTGTAATGCCGATACTTTATGCAATAGAAGAAACACAGAAACAATGTAACCAGAGGCCCCTGGTTTAAAAATTCTCCTTCCAGCTCATGTTAAGTGTAATGATTTTTTTTTCAGAATGGACTTACAACTTGTCACATAATTATAACTCAATACTTTCTTAAGATACCACAATCCTACAATAAAATGGAATATTTTCAAATAAGCTATACATGACCCCTTCATTTTCAATGATTGCGTGTTAAAAGTACAAAATAACAATTATTAGTTATAGTACCTAAATATTTTTAGTGCAGCTGGAAACATTACTCTCTGTTAGAAAATGTGTTTCATCATTCTATTCAGGTGGCAGCCCTGCGGTTTAGAACTTCTTCCGGATAGCAGGCAAAATGGTGAGTGTGTTACATTACCGAATATTCCTTCAATTATCCCATTCAATCTGCTTATTACCATTAAATAAATTGTGCTAAGAACCATTTATATAATCCCCATTATATTTTGTTTTAGGGTATTGACATCAATCACAAATATGACAGGAAGGTTCGCAGAACCGAACCAAAATCGGACGATGTCTACTTGGCCCTTCTTGTCAAGGTAAAGTCCTATTTTCTTAAAAGTGTGGAATATTTTAACCGTTGTATTGCATATTATAAATGAGTCGGGTGTCTGCCTAATATCTTCACCCATATTAGTATACTGGCACTGCATGTTTGCGTTAGGTGGGACCTAGGCCTAGTACTATCTGGGTTAGGTTATGATAACCCTAACCTCACCGCAATGTGGGACAGCCTGTTTTTTTTTCAACTTGTCGTTTTCATGAAACGTAGAGCACCTATTCAGCGCAAACCTCAAAATTATTCGTTTAGGTACCGGTAATCCTATCAACTAGGTGTTAATTATTGTCATTCTACACCTACCCTAGTGCTGGTCAAACAGACTGAATATTTTAACTTGTTTAAGCTAGTGTTGGGTATCGATAGTCGATATATCGTAAATATCGACGTTTGTAAGATGATTGTCAATTTTTTTTTCGATCGACAGTTTTCTTCTGCTAGCCTAACTTACAAACTTACGGTTTCTTGAGTAGCCTAAGTATCGATAGGCTAACTTACCTATTTTACTTTGATATAGCCTATTGGTAATATCGGTATTTTACTCCAATATTTTTGTAAATGGCATATAGGGTATATTATTATTTTACTGATATTAATTTTTCACTTTTAGGCCTAGGCCTATTGTCATTTTGCATTGGAAGTAGGCCTAATCATTTCTCTAGTTTAATTTAAAACTAGGCCTACAGTTACAAGGTGGCGGGGCAACACTGACTAACTTACACCAGTGCTGATGACGAAAGTGCACACCAAAGTGTCAGTGTCAGTCATTTTGTTTTGTTCACTTGTTTGTGTTTGTTCAGTCCAGCCCAGTTACACCTCTCCATTCCATCCCCAAATTCGCAATAAGTTACTTAGTCCTGAACTCATGAATCATTACGGTAAGATACTTAACCCTCTGAGTGTCCCTTGTTTTGGCCTTAATGTCTGCCTATTTTTTGCTCATTTGCAAGGTTTTATTAAAACGGAACTGAGAAGCTTGAAAACAATGTTAATAATACTGTTCTATATAGGTACCATTTTGTTTGGAAAATCATGGGCTTCAATGTTATACATAGAACATAAGGAACATTTGTTTCAAAAAAATTTTTAGGTAAAAAAAAACATTTTGGAAAATTTTCAAAAAAAAAATAAGTTCACGCTCAATGAAGTTGTATAAATTATAGGCCTATAAATATTTGAAAATAGCCACTTTGTTCTAAATTTTATGAGGATTACAAATATATAATAATATAAGGAAGTAGATTTGCAAATAAATAAGTTATGGGCAAAAAACAGACTTCAGTACATAGCGTTTAGCTAAGAATGCATAGCCTAACCATAGCTAGGAATCTGGCTGATAATTTACATCAATATCACTACCTACTTCTTTAGGATCATCAACCAGCCCTTCAAAACCACTTAAATCTTCTTATAATGCACCACGTATATCACTACTTTTGATTTTTAACACTAAAACAATGATAAACGTAATAAAACACATCAGTCATCGGTCCGAGGATAACCAAGCTGTTTTCAAATACGCACGTCAGCAGTCTGCTACAATATTTTTGGAACTAAAATGAATAGTGCTTAAAGACAGACCTCCGGAGAAAGCTCTGAATCTGTAAAATAGAACGATACCTAACTCGATCCAGTTCAATCCGATTTTGTCAGTCATAGAGCCTTCGCCGTAAACTGTGTTTGTGAGTCGCTGCAGCGACACAAAACACTACACAAAGTGTGCAGCGACAAATAACACTCGGAGGGTTAAGGTCCTTGTTCGCTATTTCTTAATTAGGCCTACAGTAGAGAGTCAAAAATCCAAACGTCAAAAATATGTAACGTTAAGAATCCGAACCGCTCCTTAGGGTTTTAAAATATTGAATTAGCACAGAGACAACAGATGATTTACAATTTCACGGGCCAAATAGTCGGCGCCTTGCAGGGAAATGATTGAACTCGCTGAGCCAGTCTGTGTTTTGTTCGTTTCCAATATATAAAATTTAGCCTACATATTTTTTCGAGAAACTAATACAGTTCATACAGCATAACTTAAGTCATTGTTTTTATTTCATTCACTGTATCCTAGAATTCTATTTTTAATACTGTAGGCACAATTAGCCTAGCCTAGGCCTATGTGTCTATTAGGCATTAGGCTACTCGGCTATGTTTGAAAATCCGAACAAATCAGTACCTAATCTGAACTATCTACGGTCTTTTTGAACTATTGGTTCGGATTTTTGACTACTGTATTTCCAGTTCAATTTATTTTAAGTTATGTTAAACAAACGTCCAAAAAGAATATTTGCCATTGCCGAACGAAACAAAAATCAGACAATCTGAATCAAACTATTAGCTGTTATTCTTCTTTCTTGGTTTAACTTAACCTTGTTTAACCCAAAGATCGGCAGTTAAACGGCCGGGTTAACTTGAACACTTGAACCTTGAACCAAAAAATGATAGGGGAAGTGAAATTGAATGAAAATAGAGTATGAACCATGATCATCAGAGTTTAAGTTAAACTAGATTTAGGGAAAGCTGTCCTTTTGTGATAAGAACAATGAAAACATTCAGAGGCGAACTTTTTTGGCTGTACCTAGGTCTAGAACTTAACTTTTAATTAGGCGTATGTCTTCCTGTCTTCTATATATATATATAAAATCCAATGTATGTATGTTTGTTTGTTTGTCCTTTATGGACTCCGAAACCGCTTGATAGATTGTAACAAAACTTTCAGGGATTATTAAGCATTATACAAGGATGGTTTGTGTGAAGTTTGGTGTAGATCCGTCAAAAGGGCTCCGGCCCCAGTGGCTCTGGAGTTTCCCATGTTAACCTTATGAGTACTCATATTTAAATGGAATTAATGAATCTTAACAGCTGTTTCAATTAAACAAGTTGGTTTTTCTGTTCTATGATGTTCAATAGCATTAGGCTAAAGTTACAAGGATGACCAACAGGGTGCAGCATTATTATTTTTTTAAATTTATGAAAACAGCTAATTTGCAACCAAAAGGTGAGTGAGCGTAGCGAACGAACTTCAACCATGATTGAGCCATGCGAACGAGCTCACTTATGAAGTTAAACGGGGCAAAGCCCGCGGGTACAGCTAGTAACTTAGAAAATGTTAATGGAATAAAGAGATAGGCCTATATTTAATTTATTTAGTAGCCTATTTGGTCAATGTTTTACTTACCGGTAATATCAATGTTTTTCTCCCATATTTATCGATATTTCTACTTTGATTTTTTTTACATCGATGTATAAAGTCCGATAGGCTATGACCAAATTACCGATAATAGGCTACTGTACTAGGCTATTGCCTACATTAACAAAAATGATGTCACATTCATATAAAATGAAAATTGAAAACTAGATTTCTATCCCAACTAAATGAGTACGGCCTAATACCCGATTGTCCTGGGACGAGTTAACTTCAACAATGCATATGTTGTTATGTGTTAAATCTGTGTTTTAAGCTTATCAATAAGGTAGCCTAACTTATTTAACTTTTTGTTTTTAACAGCTGTACAGATTCCTGGCCCGCAGAACTGAGGCTAAGTTTAACAAGATCATCTTGAAGAGGTTGTTTATGTCCAAGATCAACCGCCCTCCAATCTCCTTGGCCAGGATTGTGCGTTTCATGAAGAAGCCTGGCCGCGAAGGCAGGATTGCAGTCATTGTTGGCACAGTTACTGACGACCAACGCATCTGGGAAATCCCCAAGTTGACTGTAAGTGTTTAAATATTAGGTTTTAATGTAGCCAATTAATTACCATGCTGTAAAGGAATGCACATTTGTTTCTTTTTTAGATTCTATTTTGGGATCTAAATTGATATTTGTGCTACAGTAATTATATAGCATACCCTTGGGATTGTTAAAGATTTAACATATCTCGCAAGCAATTATAACAAACTTAAAAATGTTTTTTATTTGGTTATGTTTATTTTTTTTGTCAGTGTCACTTTGCATGAATATATTGTAATGTTGTATAAAACGTAAAGAAGAACGTTATACGTTAAATTTTGTGTTTTCATAATATGTGTGCCAAAAACTCACATCTTAATTAATTTAAACTTGAAAAGTATGGAGACCATTCTGTCCCAAGAAACACAAAACCTGCACTACACAATAATTTAAGTATTTTACTGTCACTGAACAGCCTTTTTTAAAAAAGTTTGAGTTGGAAAGTTTCCTTTACAAATTTTATCAAACCGTGAAATATTCTAAATAATTTTTAATTGTTGTGTTTAACTTATTCGAAGTTTTTGCGTTTCTTGTGCCAGGTTTCTTATAACTGTTCTGTACCAACAGGTGTGTGCTCTGAGAGTGACAGAGAGAGCTAGAGCTCGTATCATCAAGGCTGGTGGAGAGATCATCACTTTCGATCAGCTGGCTCTCAGGGCTCCTACTGGCAAGAACACCGTTCTTATGCAAGGTGTGCATTGTTGTAAAACCTTGTAGCTCTAGTCTAATTTTTAAGCTAGTTTTAAAGCCTTGATCTTCTTTTAAGTTTGTCATTTTCTACATGTTAGGCCTACTCAAACTGTTACAACCTTAAATCTATTATGATCCATGAATTATGTCATCCGTGAAAACACTTGGATTGAGCTGTTAGTGGTTAAACCTTGAAAATATCCTCGCTACTCGTAAATTTTTAATACCTACCAATTTTAGACTCGTGATCACATCAAAACTATGTTGTATAAAATTATGGAATAACGGTGATATTAACAATTTTCTGTTTAATTAAGTTAGCCTACATATCCCAGTTTTCCGTTCCAAAAAATTAAGCAAAAACTTAATTAAGGCTTGGGGTAAATTTTGCTTCTGAAATTTTAATTTCTTATAAAATATCAATTGTAATACTACAGTCGGTTTGTACAATATTGCACATGATCTTTCGCTTATGGCGGTGAAAACCCGAACATTAACGTCACTTGCGAATGCGGCAAATTTATCACAATCAGAGACTGTAGCTGCTAAAGGGGCCTAAGTCGAGATGGGCCCTTATAGATGAGATTGGCTATTTCGCTTCCTTATATCTTCTAGTATAATCATTAATCACTTGGAATGATGTATTTCAGTTTGTTTGGTAGGTATGACTCTGAAAGCCAGCTGACGTCACAAGGCCCTTTTAGCATAGACGAGTGTCAACGCTGAGAGCAGCCAAACATAACCTAAACAAGGCTTTTAGTGTAAAACTTTAGGACAAACCCTTTGAGAGGAGAATCACTATTTTGCTTCCTTGTGTCTTCTAGTATAATCTTAGATAATTTGGAATGGCATATTTCAGTTTGTTTGGTTTGTATGACCCTTACAGCAGAGCTGGTCTTACCAGGCCCTTTAAGTATAGAGGACTGCCAATGCAGACAGCTGAACATAACCTCGAAACTTTAACAGAAATTAACTCAAAACATCAGTTTTTCAGATAGGCCCATTTATCAGCTACAGCCTTAATAATTGTGCATCTTAGGAAAAACCTGTAATCGCAAAAATAAAACTTGGCTTGACCCAAAACCTGACACAAGCTTGGCCCTAAAATTATTTCCAGCCCGAATCAACCTATTTTGCCAACTTGTTGGCTTGACCTTAAACCCGAAAATATATGGGACCCGCAGTCCCCTAGTTTACTGATGTATATCAACTCCCAGACCACGCAAATTATTACATCCACTTTTTCATGTAGATGTGAATGTTGAATTAAAGTTTAAAACATGGACTGATGAAACAAGCCATCTTCTAAAGTTTTTCTGATATTTCTTTTTATATTTAAGATTAGCTGGGTTGGTCAGTGCTTATCATGAGTTCAACTAAAAAGCTCTTCTGCTCATATAGAAGTTTAGTTTATCTATTTACAACAATCACATTACAGATAATGGCAGTTAATGTATTTACTACCATGTGGAATGAACAGGCCCTCACTATTACCATATGTGTGATTGACTGAGTGTGTTGTGTTTAGGCCGCCGTAACGCCAGGGAGGCAGTGCGCCACTTCGGCCCTGCGCCAGGAGTGCCCCACAGTCACACCAAGCCCTACGTCCGCTCCAAGGGCCGCAAGTTCGAACGTGCACGAGGCAGGAGGCGCAGCTGTGGCTACAAGAAGTAACCTGTTATTTTTTTTATTTTATGGACCATTTATTAATTAAATGTCTTAACATATTTTTTGATGTTTTACTCCACCTTTGTATTTAGGATTTTGATCAAAACTAGAAAAGTGATTCCTGCAATGGTTCATTGCAGTAGGCCTACAGTAGACTCCCTCTTATCCTGACTCCTCATTTAATATGATAACGTTTTTTCCGGTTATACTGACTTCCCCAAAAACTCGTTAAAACAGTTTACTGTGATACTCAACCTAAATTTAGGAGAGAAAATTGTATTTAGACACGTGTCTCAAATCTACCACGAGAACAGTCGTTTCAGTACCGCCCACTTCCTGCCGATCTAGTCTGGTTAAACCAATGTGCTGATAAATATTGTCGGGTTAAAGAGATGTCATTTCCGCCGAGTGTAGTCCGGATAAGAGGGAGTCTAGTGTAGTTACTGTAATGTTAGTAGTTGTTGTGTTTATGATTTGGAAAGGCAGTGTACGCTGAACACAGTACACGAATATACATGGACAATTTATGCGGCTATGAGTAAGTCGGAAAACTTATAAAAAACTAAAAAAACATGGTCAGCTTCTGAAAAATAATGTTTCTCATTATAACTAACTGTGATTAACAGAGTGAGTAATTTTCATTAGTTGCAAAAGATTTTAGTTGAGTCTTTTAATTCATGAAAAATTATTACTAGTATCTGTGTGATGAAAAAAAATTTGTTGGATTTTGGTATTAATTAAATTGACACCTAAATATCTATTTTTATGGACATATTGGGTATTAATTTAAGGGGTGTTGGTACTGAAAATGGTGAAAAATATGGAATTTTATTTTTTTATCAAATTTTTTGTTTAGATTTTCCTCTACAAGAAAAACACAACAATTTGATTTAAACATACATATTTCATGGAGAGAAAAGCATTTCAAGTTGAACGTGCACACACATTTTTGACAAAATAATCTAATCATGTTAGGTCGGTTTTGTCAGTCTTTTACAACCCAGTAGTCTGTGAATGATTAAAAGTAGCAGTCGTAGGCCTACTGCTGCAAAGTGGCACTCTAAGTAGTTCGTTGTATCAGACCTATGAGCGCTAGTGTTGTCGTGTGCTTGCTTATAACTGCAATCTACGCGGTCTGCCAATGGTGGAAGCCGAATACAGGGAACCCCATTTCACGTGCGAGGCGAAGCTGAGTATGTGAGAGCTATTTTCACGTACGAGGCGAAGCCGAGGACGGGAATGATGGAGCAAGTGCCGGATAATAACTTTCGGTACAAGTTATGAACGATACATTTCATCACGACGCAAAAATACAAGAACACAGAATAGCAGACCTCAGTAATATTTCAACTATTTTATTTCTCAATTAATTTGATTGAACATCAAAATAAAATAGAATCTTCTAAAAGGAAACTTGCGTCTATTTTTGATTAATTTTTAAAACCGAAAATTATTAGAAAATATTCTAAAGTTGGCCTACGTAAATTTCTTAATGAATTTTGTTTAAACATCAAAATAAAAGAATAAAACAACAATTACCAATACACACAGCTGATTCAAATCATTAACTTAAACCGTAACAAAACACTAGCACGCGTAGTGAATAAATGGAGAACTAATTGAGAGTGAGGGAAAATCAGCTGTTTGGTTTTCCCTCGCCCTAAATTAGAGCTTAGAAAACGACTACTTTCATTGATGTCAGATGTTATCAAAAATAGTTACTTTCGTTAAGGAGTGATGAAAAGACTGTTTTGCTTTCATGTAGTACTAGGCCTACTACTTGTATTTAATGTTTTTTACTTTTACCCATCTCAAAGGGGATAAGGGGATATAGAGATGAATCTGGTTTTTGAAGTTACTGTAAGCTAATTTTGTTTCATAAAACCTCAAAATTATCACTAACTCTATCGGTCCACTTAGTTTTCTTAGATTTCATTGAATCTTCCTTGGGGGACAAATCAAATTACAATGTCCGTCCAGAAAATAACACTTTTCACATCAATGGTTTTTGGGGTGGTGCAATTGCCTCCATATTGTCATCAAAGTTTTCTTACACTTGATAAGCACCCACCTACAGAGTCATGCGCACCATATTTTTCTTGGAAAAGGTGGAAAAGGTTTTTAACCTGGAAAGGTGGCCCTACCCTACAACCCTAGTCAGTTGTCAGTTGTGCAGTTGTCCTAGTCAGTTGATGCAATGAATACAACCCCTTTAAAAAGTCTCAACGTAAAAAATAGTCTGGAAATATTAGAATTTTCAAACATTTCTGGCAGAATTTATAAGTCGGTGTTGAAAAGATGTGAAGGATGCATAAGAGAGTGTGGACACCACTTAGAGGACCTTCTGAAATAAGATTAGGCATAATTTTAGTAAACTTATACAGTAGACCCCCTCTTAACCGACCTCGTATTAACCGATAATCGGATTATCTGCCTTTGATCGTAAAATAATACAGTTTGTTTTAACCGACCTTGCTTTGAGAGCAGCTCGGTTTAACCGCCGCTTTCTAGGAATCTCGGCATTTCCGCTCCCACGCTGGGCGATGAGAACTGAACCATACGCTTATCTCCACAGGATATGACTAACAATAAGTTATTTTGTGTTGATCACAAAAAATATAGCATAGCCTATTGTCAGTTTGTCATCATCGTTCGTAGCTCGAGCACATCTGATCAGATATGTTATCTGTGCGGCAAATTTATAACATCATAAAGTGCGTTACGATTTTGAGAACTGATTATCTTATCGCTGGAGTAAACAAACAACGCAACTTGTAGGGAGGGCAGGGAAGGGGTGTTAACAACTCCAAGGTCAAGATCGTTTTTGTGCCTCGAACCTCCAGTGAGTGGCCATAAATAAACGTCCTGTCTTGTAACAAAATGGTCGCTTGTATCTTTAATGACGACAAAAGGTTTTGTACTGTATTACTATGTATTTGGAAAGCATTAATTAATACACTACAGTAGTAAAGCTATTAAAGTAGGAATTTTATTGACTCTTGCCTAGTATTATAATATACTAGAGAACCCGTGCGGCTCAATGAGCCGCATAGTATGAAACATAACGCCGATGAAAACTTTATGCTTAAATTCGAGTAATTGTAGCTAAATCTTAAAGTTTTTTAAACACTTGTTAGAAACTAATTTTAAATATCTCTGTTTGCGTCGTCAAGGTTCACCTACATTATTTCTGTTCTCAGTTTTAATTGATAACTTCTAATGAATGCTAAACGACCTGCTTCAATTCGAGTTAACATGTTGCAACAAAGTTTTTCCAGCATTGGGAATCGAAGAACACTGTTGCCTTAGGCCTATTGATAACCTGTGTTTAGTAATTTAAGTTGGGTCATTTTATTTCTTTGATTTAAGACATCCCCCTATTCAAACGAATTTTCTTCGTGGAGAACCCTGAAAAGTGAGGTGATATCAACCATTTCATGTGCTCCATTTTTTGCCAACTTAACTGTCCTAATCTGCTTTGAATAGGCTAAAGCAGCAACACCATTGAAAGTTGGTTAACGTATTTTAACGTGTTGTCTGTCAGTCTCACGTTTTTCAGTGGAGTTTCTCTAAATACCTGTCCCAACGTTTTGAAAGTATGGATTCATTTGTCGAAATAGGTTGGATAACTCCTGTAGCTATACGATTTGGATAGCAATTTTCGTATTCTCTTTTTGAACAGCGTATATTATTTGCCTTTCCTAAATCATAAAAATAAACTTGACCGTAACAACTCGATCGTTGAATACATAAACACTAATTCCTTCACTTATGTTTGGTCTAATATTCAACACTAAAACATTCAAAACTTCCACCACCACTAAACCACCACCACTAAAACCACCACCAAAACCACTAAAACCACTAAAACTTTCAATAGCAAATGAGTTGTTGAAACTTCTTATTTTTGGCTTGAAATGTCTGGATTGTGTTGGTAAATTCAGTCACAATAGACCTTGTATAAGTTTTCCCGAAAAACTGGAAACATAACGTAGAAGTAAACAATCCATTTGCGTTTTTTCTCAATTGAAGTAGAGCGAGTAATAAAAAAGTTGACAATAAAAACATAAGGTCCACCAAGATTTGTTATAATCTTACTACTTGAAATCATCATAGTCAAGGCATTAATATAGTTTGTACTAAATGTTTTGAAATATCTTGTTTTGTCAGTGTCAGAAACATTTCTTGCATGCATTCATTTGATCTGACATTAGGCAAGTTTACTTTACCACCGTGACAACACTTTGCGCTTCGTCCATTTTTTCACTTCCAAATTGAGTTGCATAGCAAAACCATCGACGTATAGCAGAACTGGCAAAATATTATTCATATCACCAAGTGAATGTGTATCTGGATGGGTATCTGTTAGACCAGGCCTCTCTATTTCTACTCACCTCATACGCATAAGATATGTTATTATTAATTGTCTCATCCTCCCGTTTTCAATATTTCTTCTTTGAACTTGAGACATTTTCTGTTCCTCCTACAAAACTGATTGCCGGTTTAATTTGGTCTTGACCTACTGAATATACAAACATCAATATTTACTCCCAAAAATCTAATGAGTTTCTTTTTATAAACAGCTGTTTTTGGTTTTTAAATTTCTCCTATGTATTTCTTATGGAGAAAACCCGACCTTTGAGAGGGTCTGACGCCCTTCAGAGTAGGAATTTTAAAATTCTAAAACCTTATTGCAAAACTACATATTGAGACGAATCTTTTGACACCTTAAACGTTAAAATTGGTCCACAAATAAGGGAGGAGTTGCGTTAACAAAATACGGCTTCACGTATTATATATATAGATTCACTGAAAGTAGGCCTATTTGACTTAACCGTGTTTTGTGTTTATTTGTGACATTTCTATCAATATGAAAAAGGAGATAAAGAGTAGTTTATTTTATAAATAATGCAAGTATGACTTCAAAATAATGATTATATAATTCTAAATGAATAGCACTTAATTATGTTATGATTTTAGGGATTGCCCGTTTTATCCAACCTTTTGAATTATCCGACCTAGGTCCGGTCCCATTAGGGTCGGTTAAGAGGGGGTCTACT